GTGTGTATGTATGTGTGTGTGTGTGTGTGTGTGTGTGTGTGTGTGTGTGTGTGTGTGTGTGTGTGCGGGCGTCCGTATGTGTGTGTGTATGTTTGTGGTTACTTTTGTAATGTATGTATGTATGCATATTTGTATTTGTGTGTATATATGTGGTATGCGTGTATGTATATTTGTGTGCGTGTATATATATTTGTGTGCGTACGCGTGTATTTGTGTATGTATGTTTTTGTGTGGATGTGTGTAGGTACATCTGTATGTGTGTATGCGTATGTGCGTGTGTGTGTGTGTGTATGTGTCTGTGCACACATACGTGCATATATATACATGTGTGTGTGTTTACGTTGACTTGTCTCAAAAGTTGAAAGCAAATTTTAAGGAATGGTGCAGTGTTTTACGGAAGTGCCGTACCTGATGCTGTTGCTCGTGATGGGTGGTGGAATTGGTATGTTCAACTGTTTGTACACTGTTATGCAGCAGTTGCTGTGCACCAGAGGTTACTCGAATGGAGTTGCTGGTGCCTGTGCTGCTTTAATGATCACCGGTGGAATCTGCGGATCTGCAGCATCAAGTATATTTTCATATTCCTTTTATAGTTTTTTGTTTCGGAGGACTGCTGGAGCGAAATTCAATGGAAAGTCTTAAAATTCTACGTATAAAGAATTATATGAGAAGTGCAGGAACGTGGAATTAGCACTATTGTTAGCATTCTTTTCAACAGGAATGCTAACACTAGTGCTACATCCACGTTCCTATACCGTCAGTCCCAGGCGGTTCGAAGGAGCCGAATTTAAAATCTCTTGGTCGTACATGAATATTGAACATTACCCTAGATTTTCAGCTTTCTAGCTTTTCTTGTTCTCGAGTTAGTGATTTTCCTGCCAAAATTTTCATGTTTCTGTACGTGAGTTCGGGCCATTCTAAGAAGCTGAATTTGAAATCTTTTAGTCATACGTAAGTAGTGAACATTGCTGGCAAGGCTGTCAATGAATTATTCTTTTGAAGGTTGCTTAAAAGCAAATTAATGGCAGTTTTGACTCCTTAGCATGTGCCAGTACCAATTTGTTACTGAAAGGAATTGCTGGTTGTAGAGGCGTCGATTTTTTCTTATTAATATTGAGTTTTCGTCTTAAGACTAGGTACCATATAAATAATAGAGTACGAGTGGAATTTCGATTTTTTTTTATCTTCCACTTGTACATCTGACAAGTGATAAGTGCTATCTGGAGGCATGTATTTCAGAATCAGCTTCTCATTCCTGCTCCTGATTTTTGGAAGAATCGAAGTAAC